TTTACTGCATAGGTATAAGTCAATATGTGGAAGAATGGTGCAGGACATGCAGTACATGTTGTGCTAAAAGGGAACCCAAGCATAAGGGACGTGCTCCAATGAAGTTATATCAAGTTGGCGCACCAATGGAAAGAGTGGCCGTTGACATTGCTGGTCTTTTGCCCCAAACTCATGCTGGAAACAGGTACATTTGTGTGGTGATGGATTATTTTACCAAGTGGCCTGAGGCATATGCACTACCAAATCAAGAAGCTACAACTGTTGCTTTGGGTATTGGTGATTTCTTCTTCAGGTTTGGTATGTCATACGAACTATATTCGGATCACGGCCATAACTTTGAATCAGTTGTGTTCCATGAATGCTGTAAGTTGTTTGGCATACAAAAGACCAGGACTATGCCACCTCACCCACAGTCTAATGGGATGGTAGAAAAGTACAATTGGACAGGGATTGGCAAAGTTTTGTAATAGCCGCCAAGATGACTGGGATGTCTTACTATCTCCACTGTTGATGTCAGATCTTCGAACATTTAGGCCTACTTAACATCATTATTAAGACCTGCATATTCCTTTACCTAACGAAGAAATTATAACATGAAAAATATAGCTTATATTTTATAATAATATAATACAATTTCACTTTCTTGATAACTTCTTGTGTACATTTGGCATTTTTTCGTTCCTCTACTCTACTCGTCTCTAGTAATAAATTGAACACAGCTCAATATTCACAAAATTAAAGTAAAGATGAACTAACCAATAAACTCGCTAATAAGCAACAATCGCCTCTAACTTGCCTAACTCGCGATATAAAACGTTCAAAGCGTTTTCTAAACTTTCGAGAAAAAATTCTAATCATTCAGACACGGAATCAACTAGTAACGTTTAAAACACCCTCTAGCCTAAACGACGACAATATAAGTAAATGCAGTTGTGTTTCTGTCATCTGAGAGTATCTTGTATATTGGTATTTTGTATTGGAAGTTTAATAGTTCACTTATTATTTAAATTGAAAATAAAAATAATTAAAGGAATTTTACTATATATAACTATATCTTGATGAATCATTCTGTTTTCTTTTAACAGATCGGCCCCCAGTGGCACAGCGGCATGCCCGCGGACTTACAATGCTAGAATCCAGGTTTCGATACCATTGGTGGGCGGAGCACAGATAGCCCATTGTGTAGCTTTGTACTTAACTTCAAACAATCAAACGATCTTTAACAGACCCGGGCCCGGCATGGCCAGGTGGTTAGGGCACTCGACTCGCAATCTGAGGGTCGTGGGTTCGAATCCCTGTCACAACAAACATGCTCGCCCTTTCAGCCGTGGGGGCGTTATTATGTGACGGTCAATCCCACTATTCGTTGGTAAAATAGTAGCCCAAGAGTTGGCGGTGGGTGGTGATGACTAGCTGCCTTCCCTCTAGTCTTACACTGCAAAATTAGGGACGGCTAGCGCAGATAGCTTTGCGTGAAATTCAAAAACAAAACAATTAACAGACCGAACAGGGGGTAACTTATACTTTGCGTGCCTGATAGCAGATCGCTGATCACTCTCAGCACTTTTAATTATGGAATTTTAATTATAAACGTGACACTTAATTCCGCTATTTAGTTAAGAGTGGTTGTTTAGGCGGCGGGAATTACTAGTTGTTTGTCTTCTGGTTGTCAGTTCGAAATTAGGTACGGCTCTGCTTGAAATTTTGGGTCTCTTCCCTTGTGCTTTAGTTAATGTTTAGTATAAGGTGGTGTTCAAGTTGACAATATAAAATACCCTAATAAATAACTGTTCAAAAATGTAGTTCTGTTTCATATTCATAATATATATTTAAGATATTGCAATTATTACATTGATTTTCCCGTACAAAAAACTGTAGACTAATTTCTAAAATTTAGCATTATTAAGGTTTTCCTTGTACTTTGTTACAATATGTAACAATAAATTTGTATTTTATTTGAGATTATGTTCCCCGGTGGTTAAGTGGAAAGTTAGTGGGTTTATAACGCTGAAAATCGCATTTCGATACCCGTCTATTGTCTTGCTTTAACAAGCTTTATCATCATCATTTGAAATGACTTCGCGCCCTCTACCGTGTTTACGTACTCTTTTAAAAAGCTACAATTGTGATGAATTGAAGTCAAAACTCAAATCACTGACGTAGTAGTGGAACTTGGAAGTTTGATAGTGAAAGCCGAATTTTAAAGGTTGAGCTAGCTTCAAAGTTAAAATACGTTTTGAGAACTTCAATTATTTAGGTAAAATGATTATTATTAGTTGAATAAGCCGTTCTTTTAAGAACAGAGTATTTAGTGGTAAATTTTTAATATTACTATTAGGCCTATACTATAGTATAGCGTCTCACAAATTTACCTTTAAACTTTATTAAAGTTTAAGTGGCACATTGGTAATTCTGTGGACTTTTTATGCTAGAAATAGGGTTTCGATACCCGTGGCGGGCACAGCATAGATACAATCTGAGGTAGACCATTGTGTATGTTTGTGTTTAACTACAAAGTTTAAAATGAAAGTAATTATTAAATTAGTGATTTTTAATTAATAATTACTAGAAGTAGAAGCGTCCACTAGTAGCTTTAAGGTAATTTAACGTACTGATAAAAAATGAAATATTATATAAAACTATACATCGTAAGTTTTCTTTCTGTGTGCTATAGCAGTCCGCGCTTCTCAACTGGGTGAATGAGTATTATCAATTAAAATCGAAATTCAAGAGCAAAAAAGTCTAGCTGTTATTATTTATTCTAGTTGTAGTTTGATAAATACATTTATTTTTTATTTATTTTATGTTGTATTTATTCTAGTTGTAGTTTGATGTATATTTAAGTCACAATAAAAAAATTGCATTTTAATTTATTAGTTTTAGTTTTTTTTTTTTTTGAACTGGGGTAAGCGAACTGTTGTAAAAACTTATGGGGGTAAATGATATTGGAAAAGGTTGAGAAGCACTGTTATAGCTGATGAATTTTGCAAAAGTCAGTGTGCTATCAAATCTCCGCCTCCCTCTCAAATTCCATTCATAATATAGGATTTAATACTTGTAGTAGTAGCTGTAGGTGCCAAATTCTATCCCTCGTCTAAATTCTACACATTTTTCATTTTCAGCAATTTTTTTATGACGAAATTGATTCATTTAACTTTTTGTTTTTAAGAGAACATGTTTTGTAAATATTATTGTATGTTACATAAATAGCCTATTTCTGGTAGTGTAATGGCAGTAAAGAAGTGGGTAAACTACCCTGTTTGATGATCAAGGTCTGATGGTGGTATGGTAGGAACATAGATTGACCAGTGTTTCTGTTTTTTTTAATTGGGTTTTTAGGGCATCTATTTTTTACTTTATCATAAAATAAAAAATATTTTAGAATGAATTTACATATTCTCTGCAAATTTTTCTTTTTCTTCAGGTGGGGTTAATAGCTAAACACCTAAATTTTATTGTGAACTATGGCTAACTTTTTGAATTTAGTCTAAATTAAACCATTCTATCTGAAATAAGAAGTGTTTTTTTTTTTTTTATTGGTAGTGTATTTAATTTATCACATATTTTAAGTAAATATGTTCTTACACTGTTGTACCTATTAAACTAACTTGGAGTTGGATGATAGTTGATAGTTTTGCTCATAAAACTATTACTTAAATAGATTTTCTAAATACAATACTGAATATTAATGAATTAAAGTTATAATACTTGTTTAAAAATGCAAAACAAAAAGATGCAAGATGTACCAAGCTATTAATTGAAGGATTATAATATGCCCAAGTCAAATTTTTAAAGTTAGAAAGTTATTTTGTTATCACAGAAAATGTTATTAGTATAAACTCTATGTGAGATTAAAATTGTACTTTACCCCATTTTTACTGGTAAGAAACCTGAGCTTCACATGTAAAAAACAGTAAATAGCAGATTTGGTTGGATTAAGGGGTCCACTTATCCTATATTATTTACTTCCACGCTGCCACTTGCACACAATCTTGATATAGCACAAACATTACAGCAGGATTCATAGCCCTTTTTATTGTCATGAAGGTGTCAGAAAGGTGGGCATTGCACTACCTAGATCTAGTGTCATTGGCAGAATGATGCTTTTGTATGTATAATCTGAGGTATTTTTTGGTTCAAAAAGTGCAGTGGGAGTGGGGTCTATTCAAATTAATCATAATCAAACTGGTAATATTTGACACTATCAGAGCTGCTTTGTTATTGGTTGCACTGTTATTAATGAAGATAAAATCATTCACATTCTGGCAGTGCTAATTGGAAAAGTCTGCATAAACAGCAAAAGTGGTTTCCAAACCTCAGGCTCACTGTTAGGGTTTTATAAATAGGGTTTTGCATTCCATTAATGGCATGTAATGTACTCAAACCTAAGTGTCTGCATAGTCTTCTCACTGTGGTGAATGCTTGGAGTTGATAGCTATCTACTTGAACCCAAGATTCTGAGATCTGCCAAGATGTCATATTTGTATGAAAGCTGATTTTCTATATTGTTAAGGAGACTCTGAAGAAATTGTCCAACATTGATACATTTCAGCTTTGGATTCGGCTTAAGTGTTATTGATCTGAATTTTCTCAAATCCTTAGATTTCAAAGCCTCTTCATATTTTTCACCTGGTGAGTCCTTGAAGGAGGCTAAGACTTTAATCATCCATTTTACTAAATGTTCAGCCATGGGAAGGTCATAGAATGAGCCCGTAGCTTCTGAGGCAAATTAGTTAGCTCATAGAGCACACCATACATCAAAGTGAGGTTACAGAGGAGTTCAGGACTTGCTAAGCAGTGTGCTAAACGTCTGTACATTTACCTTTCCTTGCTGTTTCTTAGATCATCAGAAGTATTTTTAAAATACTTGCATAGGGTCCTAAATGACACCCATACAGCTCACACTGTTTTAAAACTACTAGCCACCCAGCATATGTCCAAGATTTCTCCATTGTGTAAGACTTGGGACCCTGCTGCTGCTTCACTAAGCTCACTTTCACTTTTGGTCGACTGGTTTTAAATATTATGAGGTTTTCCATAAAGACTCTGAAATGGTTGACAGTGTTGGCCATACCAGTAGTATCTGCCACTGCTATTTCTAATCTGTGGTTCATACATTGCCATGTTTTGAGTATTTTGGACACAATTTTGTCACTACAGCAGAGTTCCTGCCTAGCATAATGCTAGCTCCATCAGTTACAAATGAAACCCACATTTTTAAAGATAACATTTGGTGAATCCAGCATTCCTTAAGGAATTCTGAGACAGTGCCCTCAGCTCTCTGGTTTTCAAGTTCCACAAGGTTAAGAAACTAAAACACAGGGCTTTCTTCTTGAATAGATGCTTTAAGAGTAATTATCGTAGTAACTTTTCTGCTGAGAGAGTGCCAGCCTCATCAGTTAGCACAGACAACTAACTTGAAGAAGACACAAGACTTTTGGCTGTGGTATTCTGCATCTCTTTTACAATATGATTGACAATGCCTTTTGAACTGTATCTTGAATGCAAGATATTTGCCATCTTTACTCCATTAAATTCCTGTAACTCAGATTTCCATGGACAATTATTTTTTGATAGGTATAATACAGTTCTAATTCTCTGATTTTTAATTTTCTGTGCTTTACCATGAGTTTTGGAATCCACATGCTTCTTAGTTTTAATCCTGAAAGATGACAATTTAAAATCACTACTTTCCATGCCTGATGCTTCTACTTGTTAGTTGTACCATTCATTAGAAAGAGAGAATTCTTGTTCTTTGAAGACTCCAGTTGTCTTGTCACCAGACAACCTTTAAAACAAATACATTAATCTCAGAAAATTAACCACTGTCTAGAATTCAGAGAAGAACCTTAAATATACTGACAGTTAAGTTCTTAAATGTTTCTTGAAGTGTAGGAATAACAGTGTACAGGCCTTACAATGTAAGCAAATATATACAGATATAGTGGACAATGGTGTGAATGAGTTTAAACAAACAAAATCTAAAATTAGTTTAAATTAATATGCCTTGACCTAAAATAAGCACATCTCAAGATAATAACATATACAAAGATGTTTTTAAATACAGTGAAATAAGGCATTTTAGTTTGCTCAGCTATTTTTGAGTTTTAATATTTAATTTTGAATAGATCTACAGTTAAATAAGATTAAACATGTGTTCTAAAAAATTATAAGCAAAATAACATACATGTAAAAGAGTAAGGTATTGTTATGAGAATTAGACCAGTTTAAATTAAAATAGATGGACACATTCTGACAACCAACCATGTCTGATCTAAGAAGTTAAAAGAGAATGCATTCTTTAATAGCTACATTTTATTATATGAAGACTTGAACATTTGATACAAAAATATTTTTAAATAGAAATATTAATAATAATCAGTGAAAAAAGGCATGGAATTACTACACAGATGTATTAGTAATATTATTATTAGGTTATCTTTACCTGACACTTTTATCCAAGGTGATTTATATGATTTAAATATGCACTAATACACAATGTTCTACATATACACAATACAAAGAGGGGACAACATCATTAGAAAAATACATCACGGTGAATAAAATTAAGTTATAAGAGTTCCATAAAGTGGTGAAGAAATCCACAAGAAACTGGGTTAGGACATGCAAGTTATGTTACCTTCCCCAAAGTCAAAGAAATGAATGTGTTCTTATTACAAAATAATTATATTGATATTCTTCTTGCATGAAATTGATCTACAAAAGTGTAATCTACAAGTGTCCTGAGTAGACCATTAATACATGTAACTATAAAAAATACAAGTAACAAAACTAAAATATATATTAACTTTTATCTTCTTAATTCATTAAAATACAATTGCACTGAAATGCTGTCACCCTGGCTAACCCAGTAATTGAGCAACAAATAATAACTTAGTGCATTTGAAGTTTAATACTCCTCTCAATTTGTTTTGATTTAGGGGTAATGGTTCTAATAAAACATGTACCATATTCTTCTCAACTGCATCTTGTAAATTCACAATATTAATGTTTACTCGCCAAGCTTTTTGTTTCTGCTATCCAACCAGGAACACTTCTTGTATTCCTCCCATTTCTTTCCATTCCAAATTTGAGTCCATTTTTCATGTTCCGAAGTTGTCTCTGGTGTATGCTTGATTCCATGTTCAAGTTCAACTGCCACCAGATTGCTTTAAAATATATTTTGCTTTTCATTCTATGAAGATTTCAAAATGTAGGATTTTTTTTTTCTTTTTGGAAAAAAAAAGAAATTGTTGC